TACATGTATAAATGAACAAACTAATTTTTTATGATTTATATTTACAGGAAGTCCTCTTTTTTTTATTTATTATTATTATATTTATGACGACATTAGCCCTTCACAATTACGATGATTTTGTTACGTACAAATATACATATAATTTATAGGTTATAAGTATATGTACATAAATAGAATACGGTATAGATGTTTCTCTAAGTATTTTCCAAAAAAAAATAATATGGAAAAATATTATGACAATGAGTGATTTTTTATAGGCATATACATATTATTTATGAATATTATCTACTATTTTATGCATAAATTATAATAATTAAGCTTCCCTTCTTTTTAATTTCTTTTTGTTTTCTTCTCTTTTTTAATTAGCTAAATACAAAACATTTAAAAATAAAAAAAGAAAACAATTAAATAAAGTAGATAAGTTATATATGCATATATATACGTACATACTTACAAACATACATACATACATACATACATACATACATAAACATCCATATATATGTAAACTATCTGTTAAACTTCCGTATCCGTTGTTTTTCCATCGAGCAGACGCTTCCGACTTGTCTCATCAACTTTCTTCTTTGCTGTAGACTTTCTAAATAGTATAATATCCAATAAAATTTGTCTAAAGTTAGCCCTAAATGCGCAATAGATAAGAAAGTTAACGGCCGAGTTAAATACTTCTAAAGCTGTTGCAAACTCTATGACCCACCAGATTATTGTACATGATTTTACTCGATAATTGTATACAGTTTGGAGAATACGAGCTGGAGCGTTGCAGACGATGAATATTAATATAACAATTATCATGATAAGAGTTATGTTTTGCTCATGATTACATTCCTTTTAGTAAAATGGCAGTGTGATTTTTGCACGAATAGTTAATATTATAAAAAAGAATCATAATAATATAGTATACAGTATATAAACAACGTTATATCTTTATCTCTAATTGTCTCCGTCTTTCATTCTTTTTCCCCATCGCCCTTTGAATACACGCTTTAAAAGTCGTTCGACTACTCATTAAGATTTGTCAGCTTGTAATATTATTTCTGCGTAATCCATCATAAAAATTAACATTTAAGACATCTCAA